GCAAGGCTTGGATTACGTTAGAATCAAATGCCCGTATGTTTATCATTATAATCATGACAAGAAAGGCTTGTGGACGAAAAGATGACAAACGAACGACCGACCTGATTTTACTTGTTCATTGCTGGTTATCAATCATATTRTTTTAAATTCGAATTGTTAAGAGCTTTAATGCTCAATGTAAGTTATCTTAAGTATCGATTATTCAAATGTTCACATCAATGTTTCTTTCTTTTTTTAATGCTCAKCTTGGAACTAATAATAAAACGAAATTTCACATTCATATGACGTCATTCCTACTCGATATGTATGACGCAGCAATGACGTGTACGACTGTAGGTTAAACAATGCAAATGAGATGTATAGTGAACGTAAATATCAACATTGACGTAATAACCAAGAATKACGTCACCTTACATATACTTACAAATCCTACTCTTTTAGAGTAGTACGGGTAGTAACATTAAGAGTTGACGTCAGACTTTATATGTATCGTCATGACGTTACCAACATGACGTCATTAGTGAYTATGACGTCATCTTATTTGTTTCAACACGACACTTGAAGTAGTCTTTCAAAGGGGATACCAGATGTCTGATAACGGGTATGCTCCAYGCGTTACCTAGGAGACGTTGCCTTTGTTGTCTTCCCATGTTATTTACATCAGTGTAATGACTGGGAAAGCCGAACAGCCTGCCGGGAAAAAAGTTGGGCCTCATTAACTTATTTCTACTACGGTTATTACGGCATCAGGGTAACATAAGATGACCAAGACGCTAGAATGACTAATATGTTTGAGCAACAAAGCATGATGGCGGCGGTTCTAGTCCTCATTTTTTTCATATCCGCTAAACAACTCTCCCGATGTATTTTTTCTTTTTCTTTGCGAAAATAGAATTAGTTGCCGTTTATTATTAGGGAAACACGAAAACGGCTTAGTGACATTTATGGGCTAGGYCTACGACTCCAACATTGTCCCTCAACATGAGAAGCATGCACAAAAGAAAACTGGAGACTTTCAAGACTGTAGAGAGCTTTGCAATATGTCTTTTGCACGTATGCGCGGTTCATGTTCCAAATACCTTTCCATTTCTGTACACCATAAAATGTCTTCTCGTTCCACACCCTCGCTGTCAGTRTATGACACAGGAAGCAAGTTATTCTTAGTCTGTCTTAACGAATTGGCGTTTGTTGTGATGGTCTGTACCTTGGTGAACTGAARGATTATAAAACTCTTTGAGAATAATTGAAAAATACGCTTTACGCAAATTTAAACCAACGATTGTTCAAGTATAAGCAAGCCAAGCAACTTACTCTGGCTTTTCGCCCACAGTTTGGCTCAAGGCATTCTTGTAGTGAGAGCTTGTCTCCTGCAACTGGTTTCGTGGGCCTATACAAGAAATTATATAATATTTTAAAATATACGATAAAATATCTACCAAGACCTGGCGAGCAAAAGGGTGGGCTATTGACCATTCCAGCCAGTCTGCTCCCGAGTGAGGAAAAAACGCGGGAAATTAMAAAAAMATCTTGACRCGTGCACGCGCGCGCACTGCACTACATCTAATYAWTCTATCAACATGCWTGTACTATTTAAGTTCTTCATTTCACTGATTATTCCTGRCAGTGATAAGCTGGGAAWTACTAAGGAAAAAMKGCGGAGAAATACCAAAATCTTTGAAGCGCGCGCACTACCAAGTCTTTATAARCTAATAAATCAGCCAATCAYCATGCTTGTACTATTCAAGTTCTCACCTATTCATTCCTGGCAAATTTCCCCAAAAGTATCTCGCACGGTGAGCAGGGGAGACGTCTTTTGCGTCTACAACRACTGGATTCGTCTGCAGTGAGCGAGAAAAAAGAGYCGGATTATGTCTGTGCAAAGGTTTGGAKGGARGGGAGGGTGCGCGCGGGAATGTGGACTAAAAGRRCGTAATGCCAACGRTAARARTGGATAAAGCTCTGTTTTACTATATACTCTTATCGTTCACATTGCGGCCTTRTCGTGTACTCTTCCGAACGCAACTTAACGCAGCATAATCTTACTCTTATTTTTATCACAAAAATATAATTGTAATATAACAACAAAATGATTGACCKAAGTACAAAATGGTTCAAGCAGGTTCAAGGGCCTGACCGGGAATTGAACCCGGGACCTCTCGCACCCTAAGCGAGAATCATACCACTAGACCATCAGGCCAACAGATATCAATTAACTCATATGTTGAAAAATATCGCAATACATGATACTCTTTAAAAGCTCTGAAAAATCKGATAAATTAKYGAGCWCTTACTTTGAAAAACCTCGATATCGTCTTTTTGTCCTCAGCTCTCATTCCGACCACATTYTCAAATAGCCAGAAAAACGGCCGCGGAGMACTGGATCCTGTTCTTAGGAATCTTGCGTAGAACCACAGTCGAAAGAACTCAAAAAACAATCTTGCGGTCCCCCCTGTAGAAGGTATGATGCTATTTCATTCATTCGTTCATCCCACCATCCATCCATTCATTCATGCATATTTCTTTCTTTCTTACCATATATACCTCTGCGAGCTGGATTAGCAATGGATAGATCTTGACAGGGACTGCCACCAAGAACCAGATCAAACGGACCCAATTCTTCGATCTGTTGAAACCCAACATAGTGATTGGCTAGTCTTTTGATTGATTGACGAACCATGTGACTTATTA